CTCTTTTGATAAAACTCTTAAAAAATTTTTTATTTTAATTTAATAAATTATTTCTTTTGACAAGATCCATAAAAAATTATCAAAAAAAGTTAACTTTGTTAAATAAATATCCCTTTTAATTGTACAAAAAATAAAAAGTCATAATGAAATAAATTATTTCTTTTGACTATCAAAAATTAAATTATTAGTATGGAATAAATTATTTTCTTTGAAAGAAACTGTCCAAAAAATAAATATAAAGGAAAAAAAAATAGTAAATAAAGTAAAGAAAATAAAATTAAAAAAATAAAAAAATGTTAAAGTGACATAAAGGATAGTTGTGACATTATAAATTCATGGATAGTGCAAGAACCTTCTTGTCAAAGGTAGTGCAATTAAAAAAAAGTAGAGTACTAATATCATCACCTTATTACATATTTTAATATAGGAATGAACGGCTAAATACTATACAGAATAACTGTACTTTTGTAAAATATGTGGGAAACAATAAATATGGTATGTATCTTATATTATAAGTGAGGGTGGCTATTCGTATTCGTGGGTCATGTTCGTGTCGTGTCGATGTAAGGGTATTATGCAAAATAGGTAAATCCAAATACAACCTATTTAATAATCGTGTCAAGAATCATCAACACTAGCCCAACCCGTTTATTAAATTAACACATTTAATGACTTATTTATCAAAACAAGACATTTAATATTTAATCAAATACTAAATAATAGAAAATATTTGTCATAATTAACTCAAATATTCAAAATAAAAAGAAAAATCATTAGTCATAGACAAAGTTTATGTTGAAATGACTTAATTATCCATAGTAATTGAGTTTAAACAGGAAACATATTACATATGTCATATTCACGATTATACGTAGTAACATGTTGAGTTAAATGAGTCATAAACAGGTTATACGAGTTAAACCCATCACCCTAACCCGACACGTTTAAGCAAATGGGTTAATCGTGTCGATACCCAAACCTGTTTATACCAAACCCAAAACCTTTTAACTCGTGTCGTGTTATAATTTGTCACCTCTAATTATAAGAGTTCACATATAATCTAGGAAATACGAATATTTCTAAGAGAATAATTTAGCCGTATTGAATACATTTTTAAACACTTCATAACACATTTTTAATAAATTTGAACATTAAAATACAAATTTTTAAATAATAATAAATAAGTATAATTATTAAAAATAAAAATTAAACTTTATTAAGTGATGATTACAGGTTCTTATTTTATGTGTTTTAAACCAATTTCTATATTATATTAATGATTACATTTATATTCATAATATTTTTTTAAAAATTGACCAAAAATGAATATATATATATATATATATATATATATATATATATAATTTTTTAATTTTTTATTACCATATTCTACCGCAACCGTTTTTTTAGATTTGTCATTTTACCATAACCGTATCAGTTTTTTTTTTTCGAGATTTGTCATATTACCGTAACCGTATAGGTTTTTTTTTGGGTCATATCGTACCCACACCGTAGCCGTATCGTATCATATTTGCAAATAAGAGCTATCCAGAGAGCAGTTCGAATATATCCTTCCTTGTTATCAACATACTTGCCAAAGCGACGTAGCTTCACTTCTACAATATAAGCCTAAATGCTTGGACTTGGCACTGCTGCCTGCTGCCTGCTGCCTGCTGCCCGCTGCTCAAATACCAGGCAACAAAATCTCCCTCTTACTCATCAAGTTCAAAGGAGGCTCTTAGCTTCATAACCTGATCAATCACAAACTTCTATCTCCAGCATGATTTTATTTATTTATTTATTTTCTTTTCTAAAAAAGACCTTTTGAATGAAATTTATTTGTTACTAAATAAAATGATATAATCATCAGCCAAAGTACATCAATGAAAAGCTAAAAAAAATCAGCAATGCAAGAGAGCACATTTAAGGTCTACAAAGAGCTAATAATGGAACAGCCCCTAAAAGCCACGATTTAGGGCATTCTAAAATCACTTTCATACCAAAGATACCCTGATTCCAGTCTTTACATATAGCATCTAGATCATGAACTGTTAATAGACTGACGCCCCGTAAAACGGCGTCGAAAACAAAAATGACATAGATCGCTAAAAGGAAACACTAAAATAAATCCACCTCGGAGTCATATTTGAATCAGATGAAATATTTGGAAGAAAACATAAAATAAGCTTCCTAAGTGCAGAAAGTTGAGTGTTACCACATTCTTGTTTACTTTGACCTTCAAATATCCCCTAACTGGCTATAGGAAAGTGAATTACTGATGTCAATATCTCAAACAGATCTTGCATAAAAATATAACCCGGTGGGGTTGGCCTAGCGGGTGAGAACTTGGGCCCTGGTGCCTCATGAAGTATAAGGTCTCAGATTCAAGCCTCTGGGTGTGTTTTATTGCAAGCCAAGTAAAGCTACTTCTAGACTAGTCAAATTACGCTAAAACCATCGACTGCAAACTGAAGTTGTATCAACACAAAAATTGTATCAAAACAAATTATTGTTTAACACTATAAAACAAGAACCAATAACAGGACTAATTTGAGTGCAAGAAGAAAGGATGGCTGATGAAGAAATAAACATCTATTTTTAAGGTGGGTGTATTTGCTGTTCATCTTTACTTTGCTCAAGATTAATGTTCTTTCCTACCATCTACATCTATCTGCCAATTGGCTAAACAATATGACTCTTTCCGCTGGAAATTTACAAGTTACTACAACCGCACGCTGAAATTTCTTTCTGGTGCTGTCCAGTGACAGAATAAAACCTTATACCAGAAAAAATTGAGGCAACATTAACAGGCATTCTAGACATTCTGTACCAATGCGTGCCCAGTCCAAAGACTTAAAAAAAAAAAAAAAAAAAAAAAAAAAAAAAAAAAAAAAACCACTTTACCACTTCTTTCAACAAGCAAACATCATGTACAGACTACAGAGACAGTTCTAACATGCACTTCAATGGCATGCTATTTTGCTATGCCAGACAATCCAGGAAGTATGGTCAAATGAAACCTACCCTGAAGTTGGTGTAAGCTCTATATACATGATTTTAGTTATTTTTAAGTATATTCGTAAGTCAATGATCATAGTTGATGATCACAAGAGATGGGTAGTCAGTTCTAAATCGAATCAGAAGTTATACATAAACATTAGATTTAAGTCTAATTAAAAGCTCTACTATCTCTTCATTCTCACCCTAACAATTAACAATCACTAGTAATAACCTTGGTCACACAGCAGGAGAGCAAGGGAAAGAGTCTAAGAGAGCATCAAAATTTAAAATTCTTTGATAGCAGGAGCATCTGTATGTCACACAAATACATTTTTATCCCTCATAAATAAATATATACTTTGTGAATGCTTGAAACATAAAAAACGAGTGGTTCAATGGCGGCCAATTAGTGCTTCTACCAATCAGGTGGTGTGTTCAGGCTTTATGCCATCGGATGATTCTCTGGAACCCCCATAACTAATAGATAGATGCTTCTTTACTAAAGAATGAGGACATCAGTGTTGGGAAAAAGCAGAAGAAAAGTTTATGCCATCAGATGATTCTTTGGAAACCCTTGACAAATAGATAGATGCTTCAATACTACAAATGGGGATATCATTGTTGGGAAAACGAAGAAGAAAAGGATTTCACAGGCAGAAAGGCAAAGGGAAGTTCAGAAGGGCCTAGCAGACCGGACCATTCCTTGTCATTGGATGATTCTCTTCAATACTTAAGAACGGGGATATTGTTGTTGGGAAAAGCAGAAGAAAATAATTTCACCGGCAGAATGGCAAAGGGAAGTTTGGAAAAGCCTAGGAGATGCGACTATTCCTCTTTTGCACATATTATATCACAAATAAATAGCTGAACGCAGCTGGATCGCAAGCATAACAAAAACTCGAGGTCCCAGGCAACAAATGCACGTGTAAAATTAGCTCATTAAAGATGGAAATGCTGTACGAGTAAGGAATTGGATTGAGAATCCTTCGTGCTGGACTTATTGGGTATTTTTGGTAAGTCTTAGTACCCAAAAGATATGGATCCGGGTCCTCTACATTTCCCCATCTCGTCCGCTTCTGTCCGCTGCTACATCCAGCGGCTGGGCAGAAGCCACGTCACACAAAATAAATAAGACTCATATCTCTCTTAGACGCATTTGGGAAGCAAACTAATTACCCCTAATCGCGTCTCATATCTCAACACTTCCCTCCTCTCTGTGTTTCGTCCTCCCCTCTCACAGGTCACGCCCCTTTCTTCATATCACCTGTAAATCTATGGAGAAAGATCATGATCCTTTGTTTGCTTACTGAGAAAATCAAAATTATTTATAAAAACTATAATGAAAACTCCAATCAATTGAAGCAACCCTTCCTAACGATGTTGAGGAATTCAAGGACTGTATCAACCATATGGAGGTGGCTGACCTGAAGTATTATGGCATGCATTACACTTGGTATAATAGTCCCTATGGGTCTTTGGAGGAGTAGATGGGAAACGTAGAGGATCTGGATCCAAAAGATATGGAGCCATATAAGATTTTAACAAGCCAGTTTCTCAAAATCTCCTGGTCAAATTTTACAACCTCCTATTCAAGATTTCGCCATTACGCCCACTGTACCCTTCAATAAATATTCTTTGAACAAAAAAAAAAAAAAAGGTTTTTAGCTAGATAGATTTAAGTGTTTGTAACTCAGTGACGAAATTAATGTAATATATGGACACTAAAAGGTATAGTTTTTGCTTGTGCTGAACTAAAAATACCTATATTTTAGAGAACATAGTGCCAAAGCAACATCCATTCCTCAATTCATTCTCTAATTTTCAAGCTCAAAAGTCTATTTTATCTAAAGCCACCCCACACTTTGCAACTACTTTGCAAATTAAATTCAAGTTCATTACTAATCTCCTAATTTAGAAATAAAATTTCTGATGGATTCCAACATTTATATGCATGAACTGAGTATATAACACAGAATAGAAACCATCAAAAACACACACCATTTGAGCAAACAAAAGAAGTATATGCACAAGACAAATATTACAAATATTTTCTAAAATTACGCATCAAAATTTACAAATTTATATATTAGTGTGAGAAATACACAAAGAGTAAGCACAAATTACCTATCATTTCCTCACTGTCCTCCACTATGATTCATGAAGATGGAAATACATCTTTAACTGCCGACGCCGCAGTCAAGTAATTAAGAGTATTCCTCAGTGTCTCCTTCTCTCTCTTCAACCTCATCGCCGTATCCTCCAATTCGAGCAATGCCTGCTGCTCTCTCGGAGCGCCTTCGAACGTACTGCCGACGAAGAACGAGAACGGCGTCGGGAACAAATTCCGGCGCAAATCCTGCGCCTCCTTTTCCGGCTTCCCATTCAACCGATTCGACAACCTAATCACGTCCTTCATATAAGTCTCCACTTCATCCGCCAAAGAATCCAAATCATCCTCACCGTCGCCGGACGGCCGGTCCTCCAACCAAACCACCTCCGCCACCAGATACGGCTTCGTCCGAACTAATTTGGTCACTCTGAATCGCTCCTGGCCTTTACAAATCAAGAAGAACCGATCATCCACGAGCCTTTCGTGCTTCACGACCTCGCCGACGCAGCCAACATCGGCGGTGCCAGTGACGGTGTCGGAGTATATGACGCCGAACCGGAGATCGGTCTGGAGGAGAGTGTGCATCATCATTCGGTACCGAAATTCGAAGATCTGTAGCGGAAGGATTGCTCCGGGGAAGAGAACGAGAGGGAGAGGGAAGAGAGGGAGCTCGACGACGTCGTCGGATCGGGGGAAGCCGGTGTGGTGTTTCTCCGAGAAGGAAGAGGCGGAGCACCGGAGACAATTAGGTTTCCGGCGGCGGCGGTGGTGACGGAGAAGAGATGGTGCGAGAGAGAGACATCTAGGGCTAGAGTTTAATGAGTTAGGGCTGAAATAGTGTTTGTGAGTACTGAAAGACGAAGAAGATGGAGAGGGTAGGATCTGAGGAAGAGCCATTTCAGTGGTTTAACAGTGGCTGAGTAGCAATGTAGGGTTTTAGAGAGAGAAAGAAGAAAAATCTTCGAATGTTGCCATATATGTAGATTTTTGTTAAAGGTGTTGCTCTCTCTATATCTATGGATCAGTAATGAGCATAAATTTATAAATCTGGTGGTTTCAGATAGAGGTAGATATGGTGTGGATAATATGGAGAGAGAGAGAGAGAGACAGAGGGAGAGAAAATAACAAGGATTTGGGCCGGTTTAGTTCTTGAGTGTGGTTTAGAATTTCACACGTGGAAATGTCCAATATGGGTGCTTATGTGGCAGGTACTCTCCTTTGAACAAGACTACAAAATGAGGTGAGTGGTGTCCATCGTTACCGCTCTCACTTTCAAGTTACAAAAATCTTCATTTGAAGTTCAGTTTCCTTTTATATGTTTTAGTGTCTGCTAAAATATTTTGGTATAAATCATCTTCTTTTTCTCTAGGTAATGTAAATTAATTTCACTATTGTAGATGTGTTGTTCTTGGTAAGGTGAGGAGATCGTTCTACGTGTGTTAAGAATGCTGAGATCAATGTTTAAGGGATTCTCTCTTAGAAAGGAGATTAAGCAAAATGAGGTAATTGCTTTACCCAGGGTAGCTCGAGCTTGAGCTCGAGCTCGAGAACTATGTTTCATTTGTTTCGTGATTCTATATTGTTGTATTTAATGACTAATTACTGCACCTATTTATAGTATTTTCTTATTCAGTCAAAGACCTTTGGTCGCTATGGTCAATTTTCTCTTTACCGACGGTCTCATGACCTAACCTCCTGACAGAGGGACGCCAGCAAGTGGCCCGAGGCAACTCGTGCCTCTGCTTATGGTAGTGATGGTGACCTATATTTAATGCAAGTCCTGTGAATGATCCGGTCATTGCATTTAATGCGTCATATGTCTTCTTTGTTCCAAGAGCTCGACTATAGGGTATTTGGCATTATCTCCCCCTTGTGTAGACCTTGCGATGGGGGTCACTCTCAACTTGTCATCAAGAGTGTCCCTCACCGGCGACTCCTTGGATCCCAGCCACCTATCCGTTGTTCCTTAAATTCCTGCGGTTCAAGAGGAAAAAGGGGAATCTCTGGGGGACTTGCCTTCTTTGGTCCCGAGCTTCTGCGCTTCCTTCAAGCCTCGAGCTCCCTCTACAAGGGGGGAGAGACTCGAGATAGATAATCATTAGTAATCAAGATTTAAGCCTTACTTATCTGTAGAAAAGAGGCTTTCGAGAGAATGCATGGTGAGACCCATCAGACTATAGTGGAGTAGGACTCAGATAAATGTAGTGCTCGCGGTTCCAAACCCTGCAGCTTGATACCACGCCACGTAGTCATGCCAGATAAGATTTAACATGGTTCAATCAACAGTGGCCATATGTACTTGTTAATAATAAATAATGATAGGGGGAATCCATCTCGGCCTGGTCATCTATAACTATCTTATTTTTTTATTGGGAAACAAATTCACACATGATCAAGGACTGAATATGATTACAAATTCTTATTGTCGCACTCTTATCTCAACTATTTTCATCATCCAAACTTCGTAAAGTTCATCAATAGGCACATGATCAAGGAACCCCAAAGACATCATTTACATCTCAAATATGGAATGTCATCGATTCCTAACATTTTCAATCATTTTCAACATTGAATCATGGAGCCGATTGGAAATTGAACCTTGATTAGGTTTTTTGTGCCCTAATTTCAATTTTGATCAACATTGGGAGGCCATAATCATTCATTAAACCTAGGGCTGCAAGTTGGGCGGGTTCAACCCAGCCCAGTCCCAACCCAACCTCAACCCGAATCGGGTTGGGTTGGGCCAACCCGAATTATACTGAACATGGGTTATAGTTAAAACCCAGCCCGAATATTTTTTGGCCGGTCGGGTCGGGTTGACGGGTTGAGTTTTTAAAAATTATTTATATTTTTTTTTTGGAAAATATATATATATTATTAAAAAAAAAAAAAATTAGGGCAAATTATTTCAGCCTCCCCTGTCTCATTCTCAACTCTCTCTCTCTCTCTCTCTGCAACTTCAAACTACAAAATCTACAAGAATCAGAAGTTCAAAATCCATATATTTCAGATCTGTCTGCAAGAATCAAAAGTTCAAAATCCATATATTTCAGATTGTTCAAAAAATCAAAACCCATATGTTTCAGTTTCCATCACCGGCTGTTCCAGTTCTTGCCGTTCGCAAGCTTCAGCCGTCTCAAGCTTGCCCCCCTCTCTCTCTGCAACTGCTAACTTGTATGTATGGGTTTTGTTTTTATTTTTGGAAGTGACGGCGGCGGCGGTGAATCGGCTGAGGACGGCGGCAGAGAGAGAGAGAAAGAGAAAGAAGAGAAAAGAAAAGAGAAAAGAGAAAAAAAAAAAAAAATTCGGGCAGAGAGAGAAAGAGAAAGAAGAAAGAAGAAAGAGAAAGAGAAAGAAGAGAGAGGAGAGAGAAAAAGAAAAAAAAAATCGGGCAAAAAGAAGAAAGAAGAAAGAAGAAAGGGAAAGAAGAGAGAGGAGAGAGAGAGAAAAAAAAAAAAATCAGGCAGAAAGAAGAAAGAAGAAAGAAGAAAGAGAAAGAAAAGAGAGGAGAGAGAAAAAAAATTTCGGGGAGGAGAGAGAAAAGAGAAAAAAAAAAAAAATTAATTTTGGGTTTTGGGTTGGGTTCGGGTTGAGCCCGAGCCCAACCCGAATTGTCTGGGTTTTGACAAAACCCAACCCGAGCATGAACCCGATTTGTAAATTGCGTGTCCAAATTTTTAAATTTTTGGGTTGGGGTTGGGCTGGGCTGGGCTGGGCTAACCCGCCCAACTTGCAGCCTTAATTAAACCCAATCAAATGATTCAAAATATCAATTATTATTATAATCTATCCTATTACACCATTTGATTTCAAATTGACTCACTCAATTGAGTCAATTCTCACAGGTTACAAAATTAGGATTTGCAGCCTCCCATTGTCCATTCTCGATTTCTCAAATCTCCTCAATTAGGTTACTGTAATACCCCTAATTTTTAGGGTAATTTATTTCATCTAATTTATTTGCTTTATTTGAATTAAGTGATTAATTGTTTCTTTATGTTATTTAATTGTTTAATTGTCTACTTGTTAATTGCTTAATTGTTTCTTTGGTTTAAATGTTTTATTTATGGGAAAATTATATTTTGGTGACCAAAATTAAACATAATTGCTATATAGTAACCTTCAAGTCAAGAAAAGGTGAATAGTAACTAATTTTGAAACTTAATTGATATTAAGTGACCATTTGATAGTTTATTACCTAAATAGCCTTCTTATAATATATTATTATGTAAGTAGACAAATTTACCCTCTACATTAACCTAAATAAACACTTACTTAAATTGACTAACAAAAAGATAACAGATTATTAGGGTGAGTCTCTGAAGAGAAGATCAAGATGGGAGAGAACTGATGATGGATATTATACATCATTTTTTTCAAGATTCTAAGAGACATGACGAGAAAATTGTAAATTTTCTTCTTATTCATTATTTTCAAGGTATAGTTATTATACTTTACGAGTTGATTTGTCTGAGAGATCTTCCTTAAAATATAAGATTGTAATTTTTAAGAATTTTTAATACTACTTAATTATAATTCAAGAAATAATGACTATTGTTGATTAATTTCATAATTTTACTAACTGTTAAAGGGTGTTTCAAAAGTATGATTTGCCACTTTAAATGTTATGAGCATTCATGTTGGAAAGCCTTGAAAAATAAATAAAGGATGGAAAAGAGATAATGTTGATAAAGAAATTTTAATTTTTTAAATTGGTAAATTGTAAACTAAAAAGGAAAATATTAGATGGTTGAGAGCCTTGAAAAATAGATAAAGGGTGAAAAAAAGATAATGTTGGTAAAGAAATCTTAATATTTTAAATTGGTAAATTATAAACTAAAAAGGAAAAAAAGAAAACGTTGGATTAGAGAGAGAGAGAGTATGAGGAGGATGAATTTAATGATTTATTATTTATATTGGATGGCAATTTTGTCATCTAAAATTTATTTTTAAAATGTTTATTAAACTTTTAAGTGTTTTTGACCAAATTATCCTTAAATGGTCACTTAATATCAATTAAGTTTCAAGATTGGTCACTATTCACCTTTTCTTGACTTTCAGGTTACTATATAGCAATTATGTTTAATTTTGGTCACCAAAATATAATTTTCCCTTTATTTATTTATGCTTGTGTGTTTTATTGCTTGGTATGTGATTAATTGTTTGATCGTTATGTTTATTTAATGGTGTATTTTAATTAATTAATTATGGTTTGGTCTTAAAGTTAATTGGACCAAAGAAGTTGGTTTGAACTAGTTTGAGAAGGCCTAGGTTATATAGTGTTATGCTAAAGGCTCATGGGATGTATATGTATGTATGTGTGTGTGTGTGTGTGTGTGTATATATATATATATTTGTGTATTTTACTTCTTGTAAATTGCATGTATATATGTGTAGATATATATTACTATTATTATTATTACTATTATAGTTATTATTATTATTACTTTTATTATTAATTGATTTAGTTAGCCTGACTTAGGGTAAGATTTAGTGTATATATATATGTGTGTGTGTGTGTGTGTGTATTGGTTTAAAGGGTTTTCTTTTACGTGAAAGAAAACTGAGGCAAAAAGTGGCAGAGAGAATAGATACACGAGAGAGAGAGAGAGAGAGAGAGAGAGAGAATGAGAAGGCAACCGGAGCAAGGAGCAGAGGCCAACGGCAATTTGAAGGTTGCCGGAGTTGGAAAAGAAGATCGGAGAAGTTGTAATTAATTTTCGATCCAAAAATCACAAGGCAAGTTCTTTGTTCTACTCTTCCCCTTTGTACCAATAAACCCTACATCTTTTGCTAGACTTTAGGTATTATTATCAATGAATTTAATCTATCTATTTGCTGTAATTTGGTCTGTAAGTGATATGTAATATATATATATATATATATATATATGTAAATATGATGATTGAACTTGAAAATTAATGTGTTAATCCTCAATTTTAATCACTTAAAATGTGTAATTATGTTGGTTATGATTTATGGAAATCAATTGGGACACAGATGCATGTAATAGGACCCGAAACGATGAATTACATACCCAAAATAGACCTGTCAAGCTAGTTTTACGAA